TACCACAGAATGAATATGAACTAAAATCCCAGCCGTAATGAAATGGCTAGTCCACTGGCAGCTTTGTGCACGTCCTACAGCAAAAGTAAATAAAGCTTTTTACCTGAGAGCGCAGGCGGACCAGCCATAGAGCAGCCATCAAATCAATATAAATGATACTAAATGAAACTATAAAAGAAGGAGGAACATTTTTCCAACATTGATACCAGGAAGGGCTGGTGAAGAGGTTGCCTCGCGGCGAGATGGATGGCAGACTAATTTAAGAAAACTTATGATTAAACTACCTGTAATTAAATAAATAAATTCCTTAACAACTGCAGTGATTCATTTGACTGTGACAAGAAAGATCATAAAATGGAGCAAAACTCACTTAGCAACGGAAATGTTGGGCTCAATTGTGGTCATAAGTCGAGGACTACCTGTACTTCTTTTGGGTGATCAAAGGGAGTGATAAAAGTGACAGAATTCTCCATCCTCAACCAGGATTCCAGCTTGTACTTACTGCATGCCCCCTTGAGCAGAAAATCTTTAAGGGGCAAGAGATTGGGGAGAGGGGTGGGAAAGGTTCATATTCTGAATGTCAGATTACTTCAGAAAAATGATGGGAAGTTGGAGGGTTACTGGAATCATTGCCAAGTCAACCTGATTGCTCAGAAAGAACAAGTGAAATATGACTACTAAAAAAAGAGCAGATGTTTTAAATAGGTAATTCCATTCTTTGACCATCTGGCAATCTCCCATGCCGGATGAAAACTGCTTGATTTCTTAGCCAGCCAGCAATATTGGCTGAAAAACCTGGTAGCAGTAATCCCAGCATGACCGATAAGTGCCAAATTGGAGAAAAAGTAGACCATTATATACCTTTAAGTATATCAGTTATGTTGGACATTATGTTTCTGTTAAGACCTGTGATCAAGGGAAATTGTTTCTGATGATGAACTAATTTCTGCAGCTCTTCAGTAACATGAAGCCTGTGGGATAATTTTGCTGAAGCAAACAGCTATGTCCTTTGTCCTAGCCATGGCACCCAAATAAAAGATGTTACATGTGCATTACTGCATAATTCTTCATGGCTGCCTCTTCTAATTACATTGAAGTTCTGCAGATAAATTGTTGATGCTTGCAATGGCCTTCCACCCAGTAATTCTTATGTCTCAATTAGCAATAGAAATACCCGTCTTTCTATGTTTATCTAGAAATAGCTAGAGCTAAATATGTGAAATATTTCATATAGTCTACAACTTTTCTGTATTTTTGGGGTACTCTTTCGAAGGATAGGCTTTTTCTATCTACATTTTTATTTTCTTTACCTGCTGAAATTTAGGAGATTAATGTTTTTATTCCCTTAGTCCAAGCAACAATTGAACTACTGAGGAAATGCTTATAATTAAATTACCTACAGTGTTATTCATCAGATTGTTGGTAAATTAGAAGAACTGAATTCTGATTGCAAAGTCGGGTCATGACCATTCAGAAGTTCTGAAGTTAATTCTAGAGACATCTATTAGAAAACGAATCATCCAGTTCTATAAGCCATTGAGCATCTTTTTGATTGTGGCAAGATAGAAATAGATTTAATAAATAAAAGTCCCCAACAGTGGTAGAGTGAATATTTCTTAGGTAGGCTTGGGGAAAAAAATAGAGAATTCTAATTACCAATTAGAAAAGTAAAAAAATTATCCTCTCTACAATAGTGTGCAGGATACAGAATAATGGGTTTAAGTTACAGAAATTTTAAATTAAAAAAAAAACTTCCAGAAAGTAAGTGCCATTGGGCAATAAAATTAATTAACAAGGAATGTTGCAAACTGCACTTTACTAAATGCTTTAAACAAAAGTCAGACAGATATTTGTCAGAAATAATCTAATGTGGATTTCTACTCTGCACATATGATTGGACGTGATGGCCTTATTATAGTTCCTTCTGTCCCCAATTCTGAATTCTGGAAAGTTTTTTGCAATCAGGAGAAGTATTGTTGCATTTTACCCCTAAGGTTTTTTTTTTTTTTAATTAGGTGCATTTGGGGGGGAGATCCATGGAAGAGTAGTATTTTTCTCTTGTTTATTTTAGCTCAATCATCCACAACCAGGTGTCTTCCAAGTCTGTTGAAAGAATTTTGTTACCATTCTAGATGTAAATTCTGTGTCTGAAATCTCAACACATCTAAAGCACACTGGTTTCCTAAAGACTGCCTTAGTTCAACAAAACAATAATACTAGAACTATAAGTGTTACTTCAGGCTGATCGTTACCAAAACATATAAAGGAGGCAGACTTATCTTCACAAAACAGGAAAGATTATCTTATTTCAGTGAACACTTCAAAGAGGAAATCTAACAACATAAATGACCTGCCTTCTATTTAAAAAGAGCTTTCTTATTTCATAAAGCCTGCCCTCTGGTTTTACTTTCTTTGCCCCATACTTCTTTCTCCCACAAAAATTACCAACTACCTTATAGTACCAATATTATTTTTGTGTATGTATTGCTTGCTGCTCTCATTCTGTTAAATCTCATTTATTCCATGCTATAATGACAAAACTTTTATAAAACATTATCTGATTCAAAATCCAGGCTGACTTTGGATGCTGACAGAGTAAAAAAAAAAAAAAAAGTTACGTAAATGAACTTAAAAATATTAACAAACAATATTTTGAGTTGAATACTTTTTTTCATTTATTTAATTCAAAGCATTTAATGAAGAGTTGCTCTATGTTATTATTAACATCAGTTAAAAATAATGCAGCATATTCATCATGCTAATGTGCAATAACTAATAAATCTAGCATATTAACCATTAGATTATTATAACTTGTGTTATTCATTTCATTCACATGAATCATGATGGATGTTTCTGATATTTACACATCATCAGACTAATTCTGTAGGAATTTCATAGCAATTTATCATTTAGGGCATGTGTAATTATTTCACCAATAATTCTGAAATAAATATATATATATATTTAAAAAGGGAGTATTCCAGTGGACGAGCCAATCTCATAAGAAAATATTGGACAAGTATTGTCCTGAAATGTTATAGATAGCTTACTTTTAATAAATGTTCCATTCTCCCCCTCTTAAAATGTTATTTTTTTTTCTTTATGATTTATTTCCTCTCTGAAGCCAGAAAAAAACATGCTGTGAAAAAGTGTGGAGGAGTTGATAACTTAATGTTAAAGTTTCTTTTATTAGACAATAACTTATTTGGATCAAATGAAATATAACCTATTCTTTCTGGAACAGGTCTTTCCCAGTGAAATAACATTAGTAGAATTGCAAGGCAGAGTCTGTTTGCAACCATTTCCAAATTAAGAATATGAAAATATGAATAATGATAGAAACATATTATTTTGTTAATCCTGTTGACAGTTCCTAAGTCAAACTACAAACTAAGTCTTACGTACTCTTATAAACGACATTATTTAATATATTGCATTTTATTCCAATTTATATTTTTTGCTTGGTGAATCATGTTAATTTAATTAGAAATAAAATTTGGTATATCAATAAGGAGTGATAGCGCTGGGCTTTTTGTAGACATGAGATTAACCCCAAAATAAATTCTACTGGTCTTTCAAATGGGCATTATTTGGAATGTTTAGAATTGTGCAACCCAAGTGAGCAAGAAAAAAAGAGTACAAATTGGCAAGAGCATCCTTGATTGCGTTAAGGAGCTCCTTGAACAGTTCTGGGAGAGAAGACCAAGCTGCTTTAAGGTGCTGTGTTTCTGGCTCCTGTATGCTCCAAAAAATGCTTTTGGAGACTGAATCTAAAGCAGTGATGGCTAACCTTTTTCTCGTCGTGTGCCGAAAGCATGCGCATGCTGGCACCCATAACGTAATACACCACCCTGTGCATGCATACACGATCACCCCCATGCATGAGCATGCACCCCCCCTCCCCTGTCCCCCCTGCATGCGCACATGAGCCCCCCTGCCCCCCATTTTTGGCCTAGGAGGCCTCCCTGCAGCTTCCTGACCCCAAAAACGGGCCTCCCTGCAGCCTCCTGGGCCCAGAAACAGGCTGGGTGTGTGTGCCGCATCTCCCCGTGCATGTGCACACAACCCCTGCCCCCGCACATGCATGCACAACCCCTGCACATGCGCACACAACTCCTGTGCATGCACACGCGTCTCCCACATGTGCCCTGCCCCCCATGCATCCCAAAAATCAGCTGGCCGGCAGGAGGTGCGCGCATGTGCGGTGGAGCTGAGCTGGGTGACAGCTTGCATGCCCGCAGAGAGGGCTCTACGTGCCAGCTTTGGTACACGTGCCATAGGTTCGTCATCACGGATCTAAAGCATTGCACAGCCTCATTATATAATAATGTCTTAACAATGTATCACTTTGAAGTTAATAGGAATTTCATTTTTCATTTCATTTTCATTTTATTAAATTTGTATACCGCCCTATTCCCGAAGGACTCAGGGCGGTGAACAGGCACGAAATGAAACACATAAATACAAAAGTTAAGACATGATTAAAACCCAATTAAATAATTTTTGCCCGAGACAATTTAAAACTCCCAATAATTTAAAATGAATTAAAATTTGAGTTTAAAAATTTAAAAGAAGGGGAAAAAATTAGGCCAGGCCGGCCTGCTGGAATAGGAGTGTCTTCAAAGCATGGCGGAAAGTGTGCAGATCTGGGATCCTCTGTATCTCCGGGGGGGAGCTCGTTCCAGATAGTAGGTGCCCCCACAGAGAAGGCCCTCCCCCTAGGGGCCGCCAGTCGACATTGTTTGGCTGACGGCACCTGGAGGAGCCCCCCTCTATGAGAGCGTACCGGCCGGTGGGAGGCTGTTTGTGGTAGTAGGCGGTCCCGTAAGTAGCCAGGTCCTAAGACAGTGAGGATACAATTTCTTGTATCCTCACTGCTTTTTTTTGAGCACTATAGATAGATATTGAAGTGCTGTCCAAATTCTGTAACTACATTGATGTCTTTAAATTTGCTAAGAATTGTTGAATCCTTACACTGTTCCTTCTGTATTTTTCTGCAGGATGGGTCACTGGGCAACATTGATGATCTGGCTCAACAGTATGCAGATTACTATAATACCTGTTTTACCGATGTATGTGAAAGAATGGAAGAACTGCGTAAACGAAGGGTATCTCAAGACCTTGATATGGTAAGATGATGAGGAAGACTACTCATTTGCAAACTAAGAATCATTTTGGGATTTCAGGAATATCCCCGCAACAGGTGGCTGGTGGCTCAGCAGACTGATAGCATTGTGATTAACACCACCTGTCTGCAATTACTGTAAATTCGAATTTCACCAGGCTCAAGGTTGACTCAGCCTTCCATCCTTTCTAAGGTAGGTAAATTGAGGACCCAGTTTGTGGGGGCAATAAGCTGACTTTGTATAAATATACAAAAGTATGAAGGCTATTGCTTAACGCACTGTAAGCCGCCCTGAGTCTCCAGAGAAGGGCGGCATATAAATCAAATTAAAAGAAAAAAACAACAACCTTGTGAGGTGGATTGGGCTGAAAGAGAGTGACTGCCTCAAAGTCACCCAGCCAGTCATGGCTAAGACAAGACCAGAAATTCTTGAGTTCTAGTCATCAGTTGCAGAGGTCTCCCCTGTGTCTAGTAATCTCCCTGAGATAGAGAGGTCATCCTCAATCATCTGTAGGATGATTATTCCAGTCTTTGCCAGAGAATGAGTACTTGCTTATGTAGCAGGATGCATCCTGCAGATCCAGAGTATGTCATTGGAGTGGCTTTCTTAGATCCAAGTGACCCTCAATTCCCAATGTTTGAACAAATTTTGTTGATCTTCAGGATGCCAGCCACAGAGCTCCTAGCAACTCTCTCCAGTCATAGGGCGCAACAATTCATTACATGCTTTCCATCCCTTTTCCAGGGAGCAGAAGCAACAAATGTCTTCAGTGATTTGGATCTCAGCTGGTCATAGTATATGCAAGGAATCACCTCATTAGCCTGGAATATGATATTAAGACTGTTTTAATAAAATCCAGCATCCAAAAGAGCTTCTGTTACCTGTATTTACAACCTAATGTAGGCTAGTTTTGTTCAGAAGGGCTAAAAAGAAGAGAAGATTCCCAATGTCAATTTCCATTTCTCAATGTTATGTAAAATGTCTAACTTGTTTATATCTTGTCTGTATCTCTACCTTCTTACATTTCTGCAAGGGTTAACAATAATGCATGCCCCCTCATTTCCATAATCCTACCTGATTCCTGACTCCTCCCCTCGGGTATAAAAAGGTCTCTCTGAGGTAAATCTGTGCAGTTCCAGTTGTGTATCTAAAAGAGAGAAACGTAACATTAAAGGTTTAATGATTAAAGAGGCCTAGGATCTATCCAGGTCTAAAATAAAAGCTTGAAAATAAAATACATTTTGATTAGTGAGTTATTGGGCTAGAACCATCAACTTTAACACTCAAGGCCTGGCTTTTCTACAGTAAAGCATCCTCTGCATACAGCTTTTGGACCATTCCTTAGTCCTAGTGCTGTGGAATAATCTTACATGTTCACACCAAGTGATACGTGAAAGGCCTCTCTCTTTAACTCCATTAAACATCTGCCAGCATTCATCATGGAACCTCCAGCTTGTACTTTGTCCTCACCGGGCTCCATTCAATCACTTGTACATACCTTAGACTAGAGCATCTGAGATAGAAGGTAACATTTCTGGTAGCCAAGATATTATCATAAATAGGCATATTCTTTGACCAAAAGGAGTTCTGCATTGTCCAGCCAGACAGCATCGTTCTGCAACCTTCATCGCTAAGATCAATTCAGTCTTTCATTTGGGCCTGGGGCAGAATGGAGGGAGAATCACTTGCTGGTCCCGGAAGTGATTCTCCCTCCATTCTGCCCCAGGCCCAAATCTTGTATTAGAAAAAGACTGATATAATCTGAACAATAAACTACTGGAATTAAACAGAGGAATTCACAAACTTGGACAGTCTCCTAGTTTCTTTTGGCAGCTCACACTGATATCCAGGCAGATCAAGACTTGTATCAAGCCATCCTTTGAAATGTGAAACTAATTGATCTACAGGGATTGGAGGTCAATTCACTAGAAATGCTGCTACCTCAGCTGCCCCCCCCCAACATTAACATCGTCCTATAAAGCTGCCATATAGTCCTCCATATCCTTATATCTCAGTTAAAGATGTAAGTTAACATCTTTTGGCTGGAGAAAAGTTCTCAATAAAGTCTAGGTCTCTCTAGGCAAGAATGCTACCTCGGGGACAGCTCTGAATATGTCCCACTTAAAAAGAGCCTGGCTCAGAAGATTAAAATTAAATGAAGGCTCCTTTTCTACAGTGGAGATAGAACAGGCCTCTCAAACTGGCAGCTCATGGGCCGGATACGGCCCACACAAGCCACACCCACCCCAGCTCTGCAAAGGCAAAAAACATCCCAATACGTCACGATACGGACCATGATGCAATCAGGTTTGATACCCCTGAGATAGGACATCCAGTCCACCAAGCAGTGGTGAAATCTAAAATTTGTTACTACCGGTACTGTGGGCGTGGCTCGGTGGGGGGGGTTAATGTGACTGGGTGGGCGTGGCCAATTTTTTTTCTTTTACTTTTAAAACCATTTTTGCTACCAGTTCTCCGAACCACCCGCCTCCATTGCTACCGGATCAGGCGATCCGGTCCGAACCGGGAACATTTCACCCCTGCCACCAAGGTATTATCAGAAAAAATGATTGGGAACCATGTCAGTATTTGCAACCTATAAACATATCCCTGCTGCCCTCCCACCTTTTCAAAACTTGTATTTTTGAGTGTTCTTTCTGACTTGTCATTCTCAAACATGGGGAAGAGTACTTTTCCCTCTCAGGGCAGTCATCATCAGCATCTTTTCTATCCTAGCCTCCAGAATGACCACTTCAGAATGTTCAACCTCTGATGCAGAAAAAGGATTTTTGGGATAAGTCCATTCTCTAGTCCATGTGTGGCAGAAAAAATAATAAATTTTGAAGCTTAATTTCTAATCCATATTAAGTTAAACTCAAGTTGAGTGATACAATTTAGTTCACTGGTGAGAGTAGAGCAAAGAAGCATCACTAATCAGAACAATAGTAGATCAAGATTGCATGTGTGGGCCTGTGTGTTTTCAATTGCTCTCTTAGATAAAGCGCACAGTCTAACTTGACTCTCCTGAATTTAACTTCCAGGGCAAATAGCATTCTTTGTCATCTCCCACACAGCTAGGAAATAGTGCCTATTTTTTTAGGAAGATGCAAAACATGAAATCTATAGCACCATATGGCTCAGATTTCTAGTGATAAAAAAATAAAAAGAATATGAAGGACTAAGGCAGAACCCATTATTAAAACAAGAACTTTGTATATTTGCACACTAAACTAATAATCTCTTTTAAAAATAGGCCTGAATTACTTAAAGGGCTTTTTCCTCCATGGAGACAATTCATTTACTTTCTCCAGAGGTGGAGAAAGTCCCAAATCCTCTTGGTAGAGCCATAATTTATACCAAAGCCCTCATTTATTGAGTTCAACAAATAAACAAAAGGCTGACTCTTTCCATTAAAAAAATGTAATTAAAAGCCTACTCACTGGCAGGCTGTTATGTTGTCTAAATAACTAGTTGTAGCACGCAGGGAGACTCCGTCACTATTACAAAATCACTGTAAACCTCACATTAGGGCAACTCCCCTACCCCGAAGCTTAAACTCAAAGGTTTATTGGTTTTAGTGCAGCAAGCCCTAATTTGGGTGACCCCAAATATGCCAGGTAGAACTGGTAGACTTTCAAGCCAGGGTGGTCAGTTTTGAGAGTTGTAGTCCAAACTTTTGAAGAATCGTAGTTTGGGACAAATTGATCTAATTCAGAGATGAAACACCACTTTCTGTATCCAAATAGAAGATACAGCACTTCTGTCTTATCTTCCCAACCTGCCATGCAGTGGCCTCTTACTGATGATGTTATTTGCCTCCCAGGCATGTAAGGCATGTCCTTGCAATTTCTTTGGTGTTAATGTAGCCTATTTTATGGATAGAGAACTCCCTTCAATTTAAGCAGATGGGTTTAATTTGCCTCACATCATTGTTCAGCTGAGCAGGTGGGAAAAGCCTTGTGAGTTGAATTAGTGGACATCAAAGATGGAAAGCAATTAGATATTTGGACTTTAACAAAGGCAAGCCAGAATGATTGAGAGCTCTTCTTTGCATGGGGAAAGAGTGATTAGAAGAAAAAGATAGCAGGTGCTGGAATACCCACAGTATATTATGTGTCAAGTATTTCAAGCGGTCATTCAACCAGGCTATCATCCATACTGGGCTCAGACCAAAATCTGCATACTCAAAAGTAACATACTCTTATTTTTATCAGTGTTCCTGAACTTGGTTATCTGTGTTTGCTCAACCTAGTCTTGAAGTGTGAGGTGGGTGAAACTTTAGCCCCAATGAAGAAACTTTTCTTCATCATTCCATCTCTCCTGGAGCAATATCTCTGATCCCGGTCTTCTCCCTTATTCTGTATGTATGGATTTAGTACAGAGGTGTCCAACGGGCGGCCCGCAGACCGGATGCATCACGCACAAGCCACCCCCACCCCAGCTCAGTGAAGGGGAAAAACATTGTGATACGTGATGGCAATGTGATGCTGCGAGTTTGACACCCGTGGTTTAGTACATTTGCGGCCAATTATATTCATTTAATAAAACCCATTTCTTACCTGAACTATTAGATGATCATTGCAGAAGAGACATGGTAACTGGTATAATTCCTCAGTCTGGTCTCTGGGATTTATATCTGTGGGTTCTACACCCATGCAGCATCTTGTTCATAATATTCTAAAGAAAGTTCTTTGGTACTAACTCTGTCTTCCCCACATGCATTGTCTAAACATGAGGCAGCTTACATTTCTCCCCACTTCTCTTCTGAAGACTGCAGAAGTAGCATTGTTAGGCTTCTTTTGGAAATTATCTTATCATGACATCTCAGACTTTCTTTGCTTGAAAGACTCGTGTTGGGTGTGATCATTGAACTGAATGGCCCCAAGAGCCGTATTTGAAAAACAACAGCTTTGCATAAATATCCTTCTACCATCAGACAGCAGTCTCTGTGTTTGATTTGTTTGGACAAAGAAGGTGGTACAACTCTGCCCCAGTGCCAATGT